CGGATAGTTGTTGAAAACGTCCTTGAGTGCATCTCAGTTTTGAAATTTATCGACAAAGGAGTCCACTTTTGTGGAGAACAATACGGTGGTTGTCATCTATGTCTTGACGAACAAATGTTTTTAATAATATCTAGCAACCAAGACTATTAACTTAAATGAAACTAGTGTGCACCCGCACCCAAGAATACCTTAACAAATACGACTAATAATGCTTATTCGAGCATTGATATAAAGTAATTGGTAAGTAAATTGCAAGTGAAAGAGAAATATAAAAAATAAAATACTTTCGTGTCCCGCTTTCAGGACTTTCTGGCCATGATCAGCCGACGACATACGTGGGTTTACCGCGAGTTATGATGAAGCAAGTCCCACTTATTAGCCAAACGTCGATTTTGCCGAAGTTCTGCCAAAAGATCGATAATTGCGCCTGACACATTAATGCGACACGGGATATGACGGGTCGGCAGCACAACTACTTTGTTCCGCTGGACAAAACGATAGCGGCATGAGTCTGGAAATATTTAGTCCACATTCCATGTAGCGATTGTTGGACGAAATGATGGTGGAACGAGTCTTGAAATGTTTTGTCCACATTCCTTGCAGCGATTGCTGAAAAAAAAATGATTGCACACAGAGTCTGTAAATGTTCCGTCGCCTTTTCTTGCCCTGACTGCTGACCAAAATGATATCAGTGAGTCTAGGTATGTTTAACCCACGTTTTTTGTTGTGATACATAGTAATTAGTGTATACAAACGTACATACATAGATACAGTTTATAAATAGATTGTCTCTTTAGGTATTCATCATTTCTCCAAACTATAGATACTTCAATATTATACGAAGCTAAAAGAGCCATGAAAAAATTCGTCGTGTTTCTCACTATTGTGGCTGTTGTCGAAAATAACATAGTTTTAAGGCAATCTGAAAGATTTCAATATAAGTATTCAATATTCTAATTTTTCTGCAATTAGGCCTAAAACTATTATTTTCATTCAAGATAAAATTCAAACACCTAGATTCAAATTTATAAATATCCTGGCACATTCCTGGTGATTTTGCGTTGTAGCGGGCTTTTGTTCTTGATTCCTCTGGAGGTAGAAGAACTGGGAGACCAACAACTAACCATCGCCAGTCTTCTCCAGCTTTTCATCCAGTCAGCATCTGGCCGGTGACGGGCGACTTTCGCTAGTATACGCCGGGTTTTTATGACCGACGCTTGATTTTTCGTAGCATGTAAAGTAGATCAACGAGGGGCTAAAGTCTACGCGTCCGTGCATGATCTTGTGGGTCTCGGTCGGAGCACCCGTCATCTCGTAAGTCCGCGGCACTGCAGAGTCGTAAGTCCGCGGCACTGCAGAGTCGTAAGTCCGCGGCACCGCAGAGTCGTAAGTCCGCGGCACCGCAGAGTCGTAAGTCCGCGGCACCGCAGAGTCGTAAGTCCGCGGCACCGCAGAGTCGTAAGTCCGCGGCACCGCAGAGTCGTAAGTCCGCGGCACCGCAGAGTCGTAAGTCCGCGGCACCGCAGAGTCGTAAGTCCGCGGCACCGCAGAGTCGTAAGTCCGCGGCACCGCAGAGTCGTAAGTCCGCGGCACCGCAGAGTCGTAAGTCCGCGGCACCGCAGAGTCGTAAGTCCGCGGCACCGCAGAGTCGTAAGTCCGCGGCACCGCAGAGTCGTAAGTCCGCGGCACCGCAGAGTCGTAAGTCCGCGGCACCGCAGAGTCGTAAGTCCGCGGCACCGCAGAGTCGTAAGTCCGCGGCACCGCAGAGTCGTAAGTCCGCGGCACCGCAGAGTCGTAAGTCCGCGGCACCGCAGAGTCGTAAGTCCGCGGCACCGCAGAGTCGTAAGTCCGCGGCACCGCAGAGTCGTAAGTCCGCGGCACCGCAGAGTCGTAAGTCCGCGGCACCGCAGAGTCGTAAGTCCGCGGCACCGCAGAGTCGTAAGTCCGCGGCACCGCAGAGTCGTAAGTCCGCGGCACCGCAGAGTCGTAAGTCCGCGGCACCGCAGAGTCGTAAGTCCGCGGCACCGCAGAGTCGTAAGTCCGCGGCACCGCAGAGTCGTAAGTCCGCGGCACCGCAGAGTCGTAAGTCCGCGGCACCGCAGAGTCGTAAGTCCGCGGCACCGCAGAGTCGTAAGTCCGCGGCACCGCAGAGTCGTAAGTCCGCGGCACCGCAGAGTCGTAAGTCCGCGGCACCGCAGAGTCGTAAGTCCGCGGCACCGCAGAGTCGTAAGTCCGCGGCACCGCAGAGTCGTAAGTCCGCGGCACCGCAGAGTCGTAAGTCCGCGGCACCGCAGAGTCGTAAGTCCGCGGCACCGCAGAGTCGTAAGTCCGCGGCACCGCAGAGTCGTAAGTCCGCGGCACCGCAGAGTCGTAAGTCCGCGGCACCGCAGAGTCGTAAGTCCGCGGCACCGCAGAGTCGTAAGTCCGCGGCACCGCAGAGTCGTNTGAGAAAGTTCAGCAGAGATATGAGACCTCAAGAAGTTCGGCATATAATGCAAATTCATACGTCGCGGCAATGGATGAGATGAAGTGAGAAAGTTTGTGGCAGGAAATACAGCCGTAGAAGTCAGCAATGCAAGCCATGCATGGAATGCGGGTCACGAGACGCTCCAGCCTGCACAACTATTCGATATATTTTCCAATTTGTGCATATTTTGATTATGTATTGCAACTATTTTATCCAACATGTCATTTTTTATTTCTGATGCTATTACGTACCTCTTTTGTATTACATATTACTTTTTATCGAATAAAGAAATTCTAAATTATTGACATATATTTTATATTATTAATTATTAGTATATTATATAATAATAATTAATTTATAATTATATTTATTACTATAATTAATTAATAATCATATACTGACAATTCAACTATTGCATTTTTTTAACAGCATATGAAAATAGTATCCTTTTTTGCAGAGTCTTAAAACCCGTTCACTTAACTTTTCTTATCACCATTTAATTTTGCACTCATGAATTTCATATCTATAGGGATAATAACTGTTGCTCATCATACATTTTTGCATCCATATAATTTTTTTCGAAACAGTAGCGGTTCACTAATTTTTAAAATAAATTTTGGGGCGCAGTGAGATACGTAATTTTTCCGGCTCTCATCTCTTATAACAATAATTGTAATTGTGTATAATTATAGAATTACAATTATAATAATTATAATTGTGATATGAAATGAAATGCTCCACTGCTACGGACACTCGTGCTGAATGAACCGACGAGTTTCGAAACCCTTGATCAGTATGGACAAGACCTGTAAAAAAATCTTCATAAAAACACCCAACCGGGTTAGCAATGGCAAATATTTTGCAAGTTTCTTCAATCCTTTTAATGGAATTTGAAACCTAGGAATCAAGTTGGAATGTAAATCCCTGGCGTTCCCGACGCCCGAGGTTTGTTGGACCTGAACGTCTTGAATCTCGGAGCTGCGGCAGAAACTGCAGCTCATTTCAAGCGATTACATGAAGCCTGTATTAATTAATATCAATTAAAATAAACCTAAAAGAATAATTGTGGGGGTATTTTGAAACATTTAGTGACGGATGACTTCTCAAACTTTTTATCTTTCATTATATGTTCCAATCTAAAATTAAAGTAATTAATTAAAATTATTATTAAAAATATAAAAAAATTAAAAATATAAAATTAATTAAATTAATTAATTAGCGTGCATAAAAAAAACCTGTAAATGAAAGCCTCGTTTTGGTAGCTTTTGTTATAGAGACAATTTCAAAAACAACTCTCGATTGTTCGACCGCACAAGATGCCAACACATTCGTCTTAATTTTATAGATTTTTCAGTTAATTGCAAAACTTATATCGTAAACTTGGCATGTAGTGATTTACATAATTCAACTCGTTTCTGGCCTTTTTCATTCAGAAAGAGATTATGCAACGGCTAAACATTTTTAGGTACGTCACGAAGTTCCTACTACGCACCCTTTTCTGCACGGATTCTAAATTTATTCCACGCGCAATTTCCTATCTGATTCGGGGATTCATCCCTAGTGAGACTTTTGGAAAAGGTTTTTGAGATTTTCAACAATGTCAATTCTACGGGAGATTTTCTGAATGATTCAAAGGTTTATCCCAGGGTTCATTTTTTGCAGAATTTAAAGGTTCATCGAACGCTAGATTTACTGCATAGTTCAAAGGTTCATCTCATGAACGATTATTTTGTACGGTTACATGGTTAATTCCATGTGTGATTTTTTGTTAGTTTCAGAGGATCATCCCATGCACGATGCTCTGCCTGATTAACGGTTCATCTGACGTTCATCAGAGAAGCTTATTAGTTCTATCGAAGTCACCCTAATTATTTCGTCACAAATGGCCCTAATGACTCCCTCTGAAGTCACCCTAATGACTCCATCTGAAGTCACGCCATTGCCTTCATTGACTTCGATCCTCGAAACTTCCTAGCTTGCGCTCGCGTTTCACGTTGACATCAAACGCAGGAAATTAAATCACCTGACGAAACTTTGTTGCAAAAAATATTTCATCCTTCATAAAATTTTGCGCTCTTGCTTGTTTGTCTCAGATGTGTTTAGACTGAGCGTGGCGCGGCAATGATCTTCGGTAGTTCAACTTTCTCGAATAAATTAGCGAATGAGTTTTTGCGAATGATGAGTATTAGCGAATGATGAGTATTATTATTATATACGAACAATTATTTCTGCCAATGATGAGTATGATCGAATTTTGTGTTTACAAAGCCTAGATTAAATACCTGACCATCAGCGATAAGGGAAACATGGCTCTGCTTCGACGAGAAAATAATTATCAATTGATTCTGAATATAAATAATTATATTATTAATTATTCGCTCACCTGGGCGCGTTTTTTTAACATAATTTTGATTTCATGGAATTTCTAATGTTGTTTGTTTGTTGCCTGCACTGACCTGTTCTCTGAAGTAACCTTTTCTCTGCACTAACCTGTTCTCTGCACTAACCTGTTCTCTGCACTAACCTGTTCAACCTGTTCTCTTCTCCGCCTTGTCCTGTATGGTGACTGCGTTTATGGACAACAGCTCTCCTCTGCCCTTGGCGTTCACGGAGTATATCACTCCTGCGAACGTCGACCCCGGCACCAGATCTGAGGCTGACATCGTCGGCACCTGCGGGCAAATTTTCATTTGCACATGAATATTTAATTGCCATTGAATATTAATTAGCACAAGAAAATTTAATTGTGCAAGTATAGTTTTTGCACACGAATATTTCTTCATGAGTCTTTGATTCTGTTCATGAATATTTCATTGAACATAAATATTCCGTTGCATAACAAAATTTTAGTTACAGAAAATGTTTTGAAACGAATTTTCTAAAAAAAAAACTTATTACAAGATATTAGCATTTTATAGTGTTAACATCTTAAATTTGGTCCTCTCCTTATGTTGATATTTATATAATTCCAAGCATCAAATTGCATTTTTTTTATTTTTACTGAAACTACGTAAATCATCTACAGAACTTGAGAGTTAGTAATAATAATTCTGACGAATAAATAAAATTCCTCTTCTGAACAAATTTAGCAGCAATAGTTGAAACGTTAAATGCATCTTCTGAATTATAACAGCTTATGTCATGATCTATGCTTATGAATTATGATCTATGAGTTATTCTAACATTATGCACGCATAATGTTAGAATAACTAGAAAACTCTTATCTTACAGAGCTCAGAAAGCGAAGATTCTGAAGCTTTTATGAAAAACTTGGATGAAATTTTTAATTCGAGACGAAGCTAACTTTCAATAATTGCCCTCGCGATGGTATCGGTAATAAGTGGATAATTTTCCTTCCAGCATGTATTGTTTCTGATACTCAATTTTATTGTAAAGCTCATGTATATCATTTTAAACAAAGTTATAAATGCATCCATTCGTTTATAAGTGCAATATTTTCGTCATTTCTTTCTGATACAAATAATTCATAATATAATAGTAATGTAAGAGGTTTTCTTCGTAAACAATTATAAAAATGAAAATGTATTTAAAATAATTCTTGATAATTCAGCAGCGATGAATAATTCATAATAATTCTCCTCAAATATGATTATGTAGAAATACTTTTCTTCCATGAATTACTTCTTTTTATACCTTCCTGTATATGGAGCCCATAGTATCCATGAAGAAGTATGAAGCTGCGATGAATAATTCGTAATAAATATGTCTCCTCAATTATAATTATGAAGAAATTTCTTTCTTTTGTGAATTACTGTTTCTTATACCTTCCTGTATATGGAGCCCATAGTATCCATGAAGAAGTATGAAGCTGCGATGAATAATTCGTAATAAATATGTCTCCTCAATTATAATTATGAAGAAATTTCTTTCTTTTGTGAATTACTGTTTCTTATACCTTCCTGTATATGGAGCCCATAGTATCCATGAAGAAGTATGAAGCTGCGATGAGGTCTAGCGCGGCAGTTGCGTAGAAGCGATCAAGCTCAATGTTTGGTGATACGAAGCTTGTTGATGTCCTACACTTACAGAAGCTACCTAGATCCTGCTATCTAGTGCTGGACATAACACTACATCTTCCTATGGAGTTTGTTGATGTCCTACAGTTACAGAAGCTACCTAGATCCTAGTATCTCGTGCTGGACATAACACTACATCTTCCTATGGAGTTAGTTGATGTCCTACACTTACAGAAGCTACCTAGATCCTGCTATCTCGTGCTGGACATAACACTACATCTTCCTATGGAGTTTGTTGATGTCCTACACTTACAGAAGCTACCTAGATCCTGCTATCTCGTGCTGGACATAACACTACATCTTCCTAACATAGCTACTGCAATACAAATCAAGTTCGGGCAACAGACAGAAACTTATCGTTTATTGCCGGGCATTATGGAGGAAGGAGTCGTATCTGTGTGACATCTGCTCCGCATCACGGATGATTACAAACTTTTTCCGTCAGTTTTTGGATGATTTTGTTTTCATTACAATAATTTTTTCTGTGATGAATTAATCTTCACAGAAGCCAGCTATATTTTTAGTATTTTGACCGGTAGGAAACAGTAATCTAATCTTCAAATTCTTTCATTACGCATATACTAATCCCGAATATATATCTTGTCATAGACTACTTTTACCTCAATGACCTAATAAATTCAGCATTAATAGAATGTTTTCGATGAATGGTGTCGATGAACTGAGGTTCTGAAGCGTGATGGTACATCAGGGAGGTCACACGGTGACAATATTCCAAGCACAGCGCCGCAATAACACACACAAATGAGCCTCTCTCAGCCCTCATTTATTTTATGGAGCTAATTCCTACTTAAGCGTCCATAGCGAATGCCCGATAAATGCGCTAGCCTCCAACTGTACTCTCTTTATTCACATAAGATGGAATAATTTTACTATATATAAGTGAGGTATAAATTTCACCTATCCTTGTGATGAAAAAACTTTACCTATACATAATTCTACCCATGCATGCACGAAAATGACATTCTTTATATCCCCTTACCGTGACTAATTTTACCTATAATTGTGAGGAAAATTTTTTACCTATAAATTTGAGGGAAACATTTTACCTTTAAATGTGTAGGAACAATTTTTACCTTTAAATGTGAGGGAAAAATTTTATTTATTCATGATAGTGAATAAGTTCACCTATGATTGGGAGGGAATAGTTTCTCCTCAACATGCGTTAAAATAAATTTCATCTAAACGACTAAGAAAAAATCATCTATAATTGTGGGCGTGATAGAAGTGAAAGAAGTTAATACTTGTCAGAATTATTGATGAATTCGAACGTACAAACGAATGAAGAAGCTAAAACGAAAAACGGATCAATGCAACGCTAGTGGGGGGTCTTACTTGTCGAGTTTAACGCGAACTCCACGAAAAAAAAATAGATTCAGACTTATTGATGCCGGCAACTTTAGCATAGAAATATCATAAAAATTTCCAAAATTATATCACCCAATAAAATTCCTAATTGGATTAATCGTCGGCCAATGTAAGACTGATGACTGGCCACTCATAATCAGTAGATGATTTTCGAAAGTGTAACAGCTGCGAACATTAAGCAACTGATATATGCAGCAACTGACCAGCTAAACGACGTTGAAATAACGTTGAGCTAAAGTTTATTCAACCAAATATCGTTAATTCGACGAAAATTATCTGTGTGGGCATTATTAACCAAATGGTTTTGTTCTTTTAAATGACCGTCTAAAAGACGCTATCGCCTTGTTGAAGTATGGCTCCGACAGTCTTTTCCGGAGCTCATTTTAAAACATGATGAAATTCTAGTAAAATTGAAATGCGATCCGAAAAGTTGACTTAAATCTACTTAGTCTGCTCCATTTATTTCCATTTTTAGAAGCTAAACGCGCGAGCGAAATTAAAAAAAGAAAAGGAAGGTTAGTTTGTTCGAATAACGAGTTCTGAGTTCATATGTGTCAGTGATCGAACAATGGAATTTGATGTGTTAAAACTTAACGTTCGGATCAGATGTGAAAGAGATGTAATGAAAAAACAATAGAAGCAGAAACATAATGAATAAATTAATTCTTAATTCTCCCCCTGACCCCTCTGCTGATGTTGGCCACCAAATGGCCAGTGGCTCCATCATAAAGCTCCATGAGGAAGGTCTGAGGGAGGCCGCCATCAAAGCCCGCGGTGCAGTGGACACTTACACTCGTAGCGGACAGGTTGAACTGCGAGCAGTTGCTCACTGGGTCAGGCCGGCCTAGAATTACAAAATTTAAAGGGATTATTTTAGGTAACGATATATCAACTTAAATTAAATAAGGTCGAGTCATTTTCAATATAATTCAATTAAACACGTTTTGACTAGCATAATTATTCCATAGGAGCAGTTGCTCACTGGGTCAGGCCGACCTAGAATTACAAAATTTAAAGGGATTATTTTAGGTAACGATATATAAATTTTAAATTAAATGAGGTCAAGTCATTTTCAATATAATTCAATTAAACACGTTTTGTGGCGCATTATTATCCTTATAGGAGCAGTTGCTCACTGGGTCAGGCCGATCTAGAATTACAAAATTTCAAGTGATGATAGAAAATAAATGATATATAAATCTTGAATAGAATTAGTTATGTAATTTTCAATTTAATAAAATTAAACACCTTTTGTATCAAATAATTATCCTAAAGGAGCAAGCAAAAAATATAACTCAGTACTCACTGCAGTGAGTGACAGAGAGCGAATTTTCTCATCACTGTCTCTTACAGAGAGTGAGAGACAGAGAGCGAAACGTGAAGTCACGGACGGACAGACAGACGGACAGACAGATGGGCAGGCAGACTGACAGACAGACGGACGGACGGACATGGCGAGAACAATAGCGCCATAAATAAATAAATAAAATGAGAAAATGCTTATCGATGTTCTTTTTAATAACTGAAAAAATGCGCCAAAAAGGGCATCACCGCTGCCCTTTTCTAGACACCGCTGCCCAACAACCATTTCTCTGCTTATGATCCATATAACCATTACTACTCCATTACCTCCATGCCGGTGCAGGGGTGTGACCATTACTACTCCATTACCTCCATGCCGGGTGCAGGGGTGTGACCATTACTACTCCATTACCTCCATGCCGGGTGCAGGGGTGTGACCATTACT